CCCCCCCCCGCCCCCCCCCGCTTATTTTCTCTGCCCTAATACAGTACCAGAGTCAGCTCTGGCCGCGATGGCTTTAGGACGAGCTGGTTGTCTGATCACCGCTGAGTTTTTACAGTGCGACCGGCTTTGCTCCTGGGTCGCTTCAGAAATGCTCTCGACTGGGATTTAACCGGCAGAGATCAGTTCTTTTTGTGCATTTTTATGGCTCAGTCCATTCTCTAGATCATGCACAGAAACTTTCGAAAGTGGATTTTCTACGTGTTTCTATGCTTTGGAGTCATCTATGTCAAATTAGGGTAAGTGCTTGTCAATAATATTCCGTCTCTTTGGGGCTCAGATTATTACAGGGATGTGTCTGACTGGATTGCCAAAAAGCAGGATTTCTTCCCCAGGTGTCTGAAGCGGTCTTGCAGGGCCAGTTTCATAATCATCAGCAAAAGAAAAGGGAAAATATGTATTTCTTGTCACTCGCCTACTGTGGATCCGGCTAGACCGCCGCCGCGTTAGCCTAGGGGAACATGTAGCCTGGAGGGAACAGCCCGATACTTTGGATTTTGTATTATTTAAGCGAATTTAAATATTATCTCCGGCATACAGTACCGCATTAATCTGACAGGTAATTCAGCCACTATGGATGAGACAATGGGGCAGAACTTAAGTATTAAAAAAAAAGAGGGGGGGGAGGGGTCCCTGGTCTGAACCTGCTCTCAGGGATTTTTTTTATGCAGGCCTAGACACAATTTGCATTTCTATCCATCACACAGACGTGTTGAAATTAACTTGACAACTGGTCCGTCTACCTCTCTGATAAAACAACCGGGAACCACACCAGGAAGGGAGAGTGGTGGCTGCAACGTTGTGCTGAAACACAGCTCATTGACTTTGCACCCGTTCCAGGCCAAATTTCAGCAGGGCTACTGGGAAGCCAAATGTTTGCTCCTTGTTATTTGATCACAATGATCTAGATCGCTATGTTATTTTAGTTGCCAAGTTTCTCTCTCTCCCTCTCTCTCTCTCCCTTTACCTGTGTGCCCTTATTAATATCGCTCCTTGCAGTAGGCAGACTTGAGTTGTATTTCCACATTCCTGAGCCCCAGCCGAGTTCTTACCTGTCGAGCTACAAACTCCTAAAAGATCCTGCCTTTTGCATAGCTGCAGGATTTTTTTTTAATGATCAAGAATGCATAAGGTGAGTTGTAATCTGAAAATGCTTGCTTCTCATCTTGAAATCAATACAGGTGGGAGGCAGGGAGGGGGCTGCAGTTAGATTCAAGTGACTGCAGTAGAAAGACTCAGCACTGCATAATAGGTAGCTGGAGCTGAGTTTTTACACCCCAAGTCCACGGTGTGATACACGACATCCCCTGCCCCTCACTTTTCCTCTGTCCTTCCCACAGCCTGTTTTCTTTCGCGCGATTCCAGTTGCACACAGGGCCATCGCACCAAAACTGGTATTTCATACTGAACAGCAGCCGCAGACAAGTAGCACGTTGCAGGGGCAAAACATTTCTTGCCGTCAAGGGATGGGAGGGAATCTGTAATCAAGTGAAGGGCAGAGGATTAAAGTTACATCAGGAAGAATCAGCCCACAAGAGCCAGTTCATTGATGAGAAAATAGCTACTATTCTCAAACTTCACCCACTGGTCACTCACACCCAGCTACCCACCTCTTTCCTTCCTCGGGAGGAATTAGATGTCTGTGGGTTACTGCCTGGGGAGTGAGGAGCAAGATGTCCTCATGTAGGGGGGAATGCAGTAGCCAAGACCCATGGGGCTGGCTTGCTGCAGTGCTCTGGGGAGCAGCCAGTTTTCTCCCAGTGTCCACTTTAAACAGTTCTGCTAATCGCAGGTGTCTCATTTGATCACCTGGACGATTTTGCTGCTCCCTGAAATGAATTCAGCATGCAGAACAACACTACCTCCTTAGGGCAAAAGACGTCTGTGACAACATTTAAAGGTACTCATGAAAAGTTTAAGGAGTTACAAACAGCCACGATGGTGAAGGGAGCAAGACAGAAAAGAAGAAAGAATCAGAACAGCGGAGACCCCCTATACTTGCAGAAGGGTGCTTGTGCCCAAACGCTTGCAAAGGGCTTTCCCCCAACTACTCAGTTAGTCTAATAAAAGATATCACATCTACCCAAAGAAATTTGACTGCCCATGTCCGTAGACCAACACGGGTACAACCAAAACAACCCTGGAAATGTTCCTGGTCTTTTCGCATGAATAAGAAACTTGTGTTAGTAGAACGACCCTTTTTCTTTAAAAAGAGATCCTTTCTTTCTGAGCTGGATTATATGCACATAGGGAAAAAGGTGGGGTAATAACAATATTTCTCACTGAACACCTATCTACTGGATATTAGGGCATTGTCTCTGTAAGTTTCCTCGGTTCAGTGCCCGTACTGCTTTTTTGTCACAGCAAACCAAATGTATTCATCATTTCCCCCTTACTGCTAAATTCTGTTGAAGCTGTAAACGAAGAGAATTTGGCCCACATATGTATTTGTACATGACACACCACAAAAAAGAACACCATACATCCTTAGATAGCAAGAGAGCTTTTTAAGCCATCTACTACAGTGACACCCACAAGCTAAGAAAAAAATAGTTTGCAAAAGGAGGCAATGTCTTTACTGGAGGAAGTTCGCTTTTACGGTGTTTATGCTTTTCTATGAAGAGCAGATTTTTCGTGAATAGAATTTAACATAGAAATTTTAAAAGAGGATTCAGAACAAAAGCAAAGGAGGCTGATGAACTGTCTCTCTAAATAAAAATGAGGGGATAGCACGAACCGTAAAAGCTCTCAGAGAAACCCTATGAAGCGATGATGATACTTCACTTTCTCTGAACAATAGAGAGAGAAATTTGCTCTGAGATCCTGGACTACTACTAGGCTAGACATGTGGGATGCAATTATTTCTTCTTTCATCAGGCACTGGAACTACCATTTTGTTGAAACCATATCCTTTGACTGTAATGATACCTTTTCTAGTCAGCTCTTTGCATGGAAAGGGAAAGATAGAATGATAAAGTAGCAGTCTGCGCTTCCAGTGCTTTTGGTTTAATTTGCAGGATGAACTAGAATGCTGTTTTATTAACATAGCAAAGAGTTGAGAATTTGCAGTTATTTCTTTTGCTTTAGAGGAGTATATATTCAAGCCTTAATTATCAGGTCTTAAAAAAATCTCCACTTAAATAATGATAGGGATGTTGGCAAACTTTAACTTCGGAAAGAAAACAGTGCACACACAGCTGACTACCCATTGCTAAATTTGGAAATGGGCTTTCAAATATACAGGGTAGCAATTTTAACGCAATGTAAGGAAGCTGCCATTTGTAACTGGAGAAGAGAATTTGACTCTCAGGTGAAATTCCCATTGACTCGGCTTTCATTTTGTGGCTTGC